ACACTGACCTAATTAAAACAGTGCATGGACTCACTTACACACACAAACTCTAGCTTACTTTGCCACAGAATTTATTCTAGAATAAGCTGACGTGATACTCTTGTGTCTCTGCAGTCCGAAGAGATCCGCTGCTGTGAACAGTGTCGATAGCACAGCCCTAAAACGGCCAGACACCAACGAATCAATCAACTCCTCCATGTCGAACGGCACCACTGATGCAGGTACACAGAACACACACACATGCACGTCCCTCACATTTGAATTTCTCAAAATGAATCAAAATATTGTGTTTATTTTTATATTTAGATTTTAACACCCTTTTAACACTTAACACCAGCACCATCCAAAAACTCACAATATGTATAGTATAATTAAGATGAATTATAATAATAATGATTTAATTATTTAAATATTTATTAAGAATAATTAAGATTTTTCAGTGTTTTTTAAAGAAGTCTCTAATGTTCACCAAAGTTGCATTTATTTAAATACAGTAAATACATGAATATTGTGAAATATTATTGCAATTTAACATAACTGTTTTTTAATTGAATATATTTAAAAATGTAAGTTATTCCTGTGATGGCGAAACTGAAATTTGGTTCTGCAGAAATCTGTCTAATGTGATTTGATGCGCAATTATTATTGGAGCTCAAATATTAATAATGGTTCTTACTATTATCATCAGTGTTGAAAATTGTTTTTGACCATTAATATTTTCTTTAAAAATTTGATTTTTTTTCCAGTATTCTTTGATTAATAGAAATTGTTTATTTGATTTTTTTTTATTATTATTATCATTGTCTTTACTGTCACTTTAGATCAATTGAATGCGTCCTTGCTGAATAAAAGTACTTGCCCCAAACTTTTGAATGGTAGTGTATTATGGTTTTCACAAATAAATAATATGTTTCCAACACTGATAATAAGAAATGCAGTTGAGTTCACCTTGTTTGTTTCACATTCACTGTTTGCTTAGTTCATTGGTTGCTGTGTGTTTTTCTCAGATCAGTTTGACAGTCATGATGAGAAAGATGATGATGGCGAGGGTGAATCTGTGGAAGAACACAAAAGTGTCATCATGCATCTG